TGCGGCAATCAATACACGGACATAATCCTCCATCTTTCTTTTTCACGAAGAAGAATCCGGCTGAAGCAGGAGAGGTGGATGGTTTTATGAATCCTCTGGAAAGCTGTTCTTCTATGTAGGCTTTCACAGCTTCAGATTCAGGCTTTGAGAGAGGAAAAATTCTTCCTCGTGTGGGAGTGGCTCCTGGGATTAGATCAATAGCACAATCATGGGGTCTATGAGGAGGAAGTTGTGTGGCTCGCCTCTCACTGAAGGCTAGAGAAAGATCGTGATACTGAACAAGAATCTTCGATAGATCGGGACTCTCAGAGTGGATGGTCTTTGGAGTGAGTTTGGTAAGGGAGTGAAGGCATTCTTCTTAACAGGCGGTAGACCATTGGGTTATCTGCTTCTCAGTCCATGAAATTACGGGATTGTGCTTCTCCGGCCAGGGTAAACCCAGGATGATGGGGTGTCGTGGGGATTCAATCGTGAATAGTTGAATGAGTTCGGAATGAAGAGTACTGGTATGTAAGGTGACTTCTTGAGAGATGTATTGGATCTCTCCTGTACCCAACGGACGCCTGTCTAATGCTGCCACAGCCATCTGGGATGTATATGGAAGAAGAGAAAGATGATGAGTTCTCGCGAAAGACAAATCAATGAAATTACCTGCAGCTCCAGAGTCTATTAATGCAGTGGTATTAACTGTTTCCTCTCCAAAACACAGAGTAACATCAAGTTCAAAGGATTTTGAAGAACTGAAATGAGAACTCACCACTGCTGAATCTCGTGAGATGGGTCGCTTGGGACAGGTCGCCCTCATGTGGCCAGATTGTCCACAGTACAAGCATAAGTGATTGCTTAATCTTCTCTCTCTTCGGGCATTAGGCGAGTGTAGCCGATTTGCATGGGTTCGGTTTCCTGACTAACGGCTGAATGTTCAGTGACTCTGCGGAGCTCGCCGAGCTCGCATCAAATTGTCAAGACGAATGGACAGATCAATGAGCTGATTGAGTGATTTCCCCTCATCCCGACATGCCAACTCCCCCTGTAGATCAGCATTGAGACCCTTGCGATAGTTTCAGCGGATCATCCTCCCAGCCAGTTTGCGCAGCGAGAGTGCAGAAAGAGAGAGCGTAATCTGCAGCCGAGGATCCGCCCTGGCGTAACAAAAGCAGAAGTTCGCCCGGTTCCTTTCCACCGGCGGGATGTTCGAACACCTCTCTGAACTGTTGAAGGAAACTGTTATATGATGAAAATGATAGTTGACCACCCTCCCAAAGTTCCGTTGTCCACTCCAGAGCTCTTCCAGTCAGTAGTGAGCATATGAATGAGACTCGACTCTCATCAGTGTGGTAAAACTTGGGTTGTTGATTGATGAAGATTGAGCATTGCAACAGAAATCCTTTACATTTGGAGGGACATCCATCATATTTGTCTAGAAAGGATAGACGAGGATTGTTGGAGGGGTTACTCACAAAGGGAATGGTTTGATCGGAAGCTGCCGCTGAAGTAGCAGGTGCAGGGGGACGTGGAGTGAGCGTTTGCATGGATTTCACCAGCTGTTCGATAAGCGCAGTTAACTTGACGAGTTGTTGCTGGTGTGAAGCTAGAATAGCCGCTTGAGATGTAACCTCAGTGGTAAGGCAATGCATGGCTGCTGGATCCTGTGGTGGTGAAGTCTTCTGTGATGCAGAGTCTGAGACATTCGGATCCATTTGCAGTAGTTTATTAGGAATAGTCAGACAGGCCGAAATCAGAAATCAACATAGACAATGTTAGACAAACGATACCAGGCAGAGGTCAGGGCAGGCAGCAATATCCAAAATCTAAACGAGAACAGGCAAAGGTCGGGGCAGGCAGCAAACAAGGAAACAGGAGTCGGTAAACAGTCACAGGTCAATACACGGGGAATCAATAGACAGTAGATAAACGCTTGGTAATGTTAGCCGGTGCAAAACAAGACTTCGCAATGCATGCGAGTCAGAAGGCTGTTTATATAGAGGAGAGAATTGGGAACACCTGTGCAGATGATTAGACCTAGGTACGGGGCTTATGGGAAATGCAGTTCAATACTCTGGTGAAGGAGTTCTAGGATGAGCAGAGAGACTGCACCGTATTGAGGGGAAGATTCAATCTCCAACAATCCAACAATCTCCTTTCCTCAGTAAGAGCATTGAAAATGGGCCGTGGCTGGGTCTTCCAGCATGGCAACGACCCGAAACACACAGCCAGGGCAAGGAGTGGCTCTGTAAGAACCATCTCAAGGTCCTGGAGTGGTCCTGGTTCAGTCTCCAGACCTGAACACAATAGAAAATCTTTGAAGGGAGCTGAAAGTCCATATTGCTCAGCGACAGTCCCAAAGCCTGAAGGATCTGGAGAAGGTCTGTATGGAGGAGTGGGTCAACAACTAACCTGGTCAACAACTACAGGAAACGTATGATCTCTGTAGTGAGGTGTGCAGAAAAAGGGACACAAAGATATCGTTCTGCTAAATGGAGTTTCTTACAGCTTCACGTAGCAATTTTAGCAGATAGTTTTTAGTTAGATTAAGAGATTCTTTTTAATGTCATTTTAATTAAAAACATAGTGGACAGAAAATTATTATTGTAAACATTAATTCACTTATCTATTATTACATGTTGCTACAGTGTTTTATACATTTCGTATACAATAACCTTACTGGAAAAAATATAATGAAAAATAATATAAGATTTAGTTTTGTATTGACCACTACATTATAAACATTTTATTACATTCCTATACCACAGCAGTGGTCCATTTGTGGCAACACTGCACTGTTTCAACAGAGATACTCAAAAAAGATGCTTGGTACAATGACTACATTAGTTTTGAGTCATAAAGTACAATGCAAATGTGATACAGTATACTTATATTTAAGGTTAATTGTGAAATATTCATAAAATATACAGCACACAAACCTATAAGTAGTTGAAGACTACACTCTCTTTGCTTTTATATTTTTGCCCACATCAAGATTTGCTTAAAATTTCACAAATTGCAAGCAAATTATTCTCATGAGTAACAACTTCCCTCTTATTACTGGAAGCAATGGAACTGTCTAAAGGAAGGCATCGTCCAAAGCAGTAATAACATGGTGTATGTATGCAATAATTATGCTCAAGGATTTAATCAAATTGTGAAATTTTTCTGTGATATTGATTACGTTTTTTGTTTTGTTTTTTTGTGCCACAGGAAACTGGAAACATAATAACTGAGGATAGGGATCTCAGTCTATGCTCATTCCCTTTTTTCACTTTGGTAATCAGATCTACTATGTGCATTGTTTTCCTGAATTGAAATGATGTGAGATCAGTTCGGCTGATATTAAAGGTGTTTTATTACATTTTTGCATTTGGAAAATGCTTATCCAATGCAAATTGTTGCATGTAAGGTACACATTTAATCAGTCCATGCTTTCTCTGGGACTTGAACTGAAAATTTGAACCAGGAATTCTGTTTTAGGTCAAAGTATGATCTTATGAAAGTAAGTAAAATCGCTTTAAAAAGTGATGTTACAGGGTTATTCTGATATACTTCTGTAGTTTTTAAAAACTAAAAATTGTTTATTGGAAGATTTGACTGTTGACAGCGGAAAAGATTTATTTGTAGGGGTTCTAGCATGAAATGCTGATTTTAAGATTTTATTATTATTCCACTGCAAATCCTGGCCCTGGGGATCAGTAATTCACACTCACAATGGGATGCCAAAACATTTGAAGGTTAAATAAAAAATGAAATAAATAAAAAAAACAACCACTACAGCCAAACAAATTGTTAAATATCTGAAATTACTTGAAAAATCAACTTTTTCAAACTCCTTGTATGCTGTTTGTCCCATTTGCTCAAAAGTTGAAATTTGCCAAGCATCTAGGGACCCTCATGGCAAAAAGTTATGGAAAAAATTGATCGAATTAACTGTTTAGCAGTTAAATTTTTTTTATAGTTATCTGGTTTTGTCCATTGTGAGTAACATGCCTATATATTGTGCAGACAAAGTATGAACTGTGCACATATGGAGAACAAGTCATCAGTTTCCAGCATTGTTTGATAAATGTTTTATTTCTAAATTATGGTGCACTTTTATATAATTAGTTAGCAAAGAAATATGTAATGCTTATGTAGACCATTATAATGGAAAAATTGCTTTGCTTTGGTGGAGATTACACAATTTTATTTTATTAAATTGTAATTTTGTCATTCTACAGTACTTACTAATAAAGTTTTTTCCCCAAGTTTTGCTTTTGCATTCAAATTTAGACAAATTCACTATTGTAACACTTAAAATCACATTTTGTCAGTACTGAGCTGTCAGTTTTGACAATTGTGCCACATAATTGTGAAACCTGAAAAATGATTTGCAGTAAACATTGTTGTTACCCATCATCATTTATTTCAAATATCTATAACAAAATGTGTGAGCATGCTTAGCGTATTCAGTAGTATTGTTTAAGCCTTTCATTATTTTTTGTATGTGATTTAGGATATTCTTGGTCATGGATATTATTTCAAGTAGTCTTTAACCCTAACAGCATAGATGGCATTATGGTCTTAAAATGCTTGAACCCCATTAATTGTGGTTTGCAGCTAGATTTCTTACAGTATTTGTAGCTTTACATTCACTATTTATAATAAAAAGCATGGTACAAAATTGATCATGTATCGAGTTACCATAACTGACTAAATTAGTTGATTCATTGTTACCTACAAATCTTAAAACTGAACAAATAAAACAAGGCCATGTTAAAAGGCAAAATGTTTCAATAACAGTTTCTAGTATTTTGAGCTGGAGTTGTCAGCTTGTTCAAGTGTGCTTTCTATATAATATTATCACTTTATTATATAAAACTGATAAACATTTTTCTTCCCAGGGAGCATGTGCCCAGAACACCCAAGTTCACATCTTTGCCACTTGTTTACTGCTGATGCGTTTACACTCCGGGACAGTTATATGCTTTAGTCTTAGGTACTTGGTAGAAATTTACATCTTGCACAGATAGAGATAAAAAATTTATTCCAAGTTAGACAGCACAAACACAAACTCCAACTGCCAGTGGCTCACCTGGGCCTTATTCATTGAGACTACAACAAAATGAACAAAATCACATCAGATTGCAGACAAAAGAAATAAGTCATTGTAATCCATCATGGACATTTGAGTGACTCGTAAGGCAAGCTTACAATACATGACTTTTGACCGGATTTTGCCATTACAGACAGATTTCCAAGGTCCGATACAAACCCCCCAGATCGTGGTTAAATCACTTGTTAATTATGAGCAGTGACATGATCTGAGCCAGCCTCGAGCTGTCACATATGCTATAATGATATCCAACAGGCCACATGATCTTTTAGTTTTCTGCAATGCAACAATGTGGAACTAATACAGCCAAATCACATTGCAGATGGTATAAATCTCAGTCTCAAATTTCATGCATTAATTTATGTGAGAAATGTTTTTGTAAACACTTTACAATAAGGTTCATTTGTAAACTACCTTAGTTTACATGAACAAGAATAAACAATACTTCTCCAGCATCTTAGATAATATTAATTTCAACATTTACTAAAACATTTTTAAAAGTCAAAAGTTTTATTTGTTAACATTAGTTAATGCACTGTGAACGAACATGAAAAATGAACGGCTGGATTTTTATTAACTAACGTTACCAAAGATTCATAAATACTGTAACAAATGTATTGCTTATTGTTAGTTTATGTTAGTTAATACATTAATGAACCTTATTTTAAAGTGTTACCCATTTTTCAATGTTGGTCGAGACTGCCTCTTGACCAAAGCTTTTTCAGTTTGTGCACCTCAACAGAGTTGCGCTCTGCTTCGACAAAATTACAAGAAACCCTTTTGTTTACTGTGAGCACCACAGCAATTCCGGTAGTTTTGCAGTCCAATAGTGTGAGCTTGCCTTTAATGCATACAAATTTTGAACACACCTTTCCATCAAAACAGGTGTCTGCACAAGGAGACCCAGAGGGCATGCACACTTCAGTAGAACACATGAAGTAAATCTGTTTGCAGGGAGGGGAAACAGAAACCATCAGGTTACCAAATCAGATTCTGGTCATGTGTTTTTGTTTAGTAGTTACCTCCTCATTTAGATATTTATTGGTGGACAAATCCATGAACTGAAAGGCTTTAATCTCAAAGCGACGCTGGTACTGATTCTGAGGCAGATGTTTCACATAAAGAATGGAGGTATTGCCTGAATCAAGAGGATTGGGGCATCTGCAGAAAAAAACAAAACAAATCAAATTATCGAAGATAAGCAAAACTTAAGTACATATTAGGGATGCTCATTTTGACCGTTTAACCGTTAACCGATAGTACAAATTTTGACCGATTAATACTGTCAGTTAAACGGTTTAAAAGTGTTTTTTTATTTATTTATTTTTTTTGCTGCATGGTTTAAAAACAAAACTAGGCCTATATAGGTTTTACTATATATTTAAAACTATGCGTCAACTCACGGGGCGCATCGACACGCGCAACTACACACGTGCCTGGCCTGCAGACATTTTTTACCGAGTTACCGAGCAAGCAAAATGAAGCGATCGAAAAGAAGCACTGTGTGGGACCATTTCAACAAAAAGGGCGACGACGAGGTTATCTGTAAAATATGCTGCGCTGTTTTAAAATACAGCAGTAGTACAAGTACGATGCAGTACCATTTAAGAAGCAAACATCCGCAAGCATCGTGTGATGAAGGGCAACAAACTCTCCCCGCCATGTTATCAGGGAGAAGATGCGATGCACAGCGATCTGAGGAGATAACGCAGAGAATCTGTTCAATGGTTGTAAAAGACACTTTGCCCATAAGTGTCGTCTGTGGTGAAGGTTTTCGAGAGCTACTGGGCTATATTGAGCCCAATTACGAAACCCCATCAAGACCCACTGTCACCCGCTATTGAAGGCCGCTATGAGGAGAGAAAAAAAAAATTGCTTAAATCGCAACTCGAAAGCACAAAGTGCGTGGCCCTTATGACTGACTGCTGGACAGCACTCACAACGGAGAGCTATATAACAATAACGCGTCACTACATCGATGAAGACTGGCAAGTTAATTCAGCTGTCCTTCTAACACAGAGTATACCTAGCAGACACACAGCTGAGAACCTTGCAGCTAAACTAATTGATGCGGTGGAGACATGGGGAATTAATGGGAAAGTATCTGCATGTGTTCATGATAATGCACGCATACATCAAGTTCTTAGTAGTCTTTATCATTTCGAAAGAAGTTTACTGAACTAAAATTCAAGCAAGTTAACAGGAATTATGGACGTTAATGGAAGTTATTGAAGTTAACTAAATATAAAAAGATTTCTATAGGTGGCATTTCGAACAATTATGCATCTGACACACAACTTTCAAATTTTACATTTTATTTTCTAGCTCTCAAACTGGGCTCTCATAAACAATTACAACCATACAATCAGTGTTAATTGGTTAAATTTCACTCATTGCATTAATGACATGATCATTTCAAAATTCAATTTAAAATTCAAATCTGCATCCTCAACTCAATGCAATGCTACATTGATGCAAGCATCTTTGCTTTGAATTTAAGGTTCTTACCCCTCAAAAAGCAGAACCAGGGCACTCTTAGCAGAGCGTGGATATGCCACACAGTAGTGAACTAGAAGAGTAGCTGTAGGTTTTGGAGATCTCAGACGCAACTCCAGATATACAGGCTTCCCCAAAAGAACATGCAAGGGCTGATGACACTGTGGATAAAACTTGGTGAAAGTCTCGTCTGCAAGGAAAAAGGAGAAAAAGAAAAGACAAAATATTCTAAAATCACTATTCTGATCAACTAGAACAACCAGCTTGACAGCTATAGAGCTTCACCCTCAGAAATCAAAAGCTGAACTCCAAACAGTCCTTCAGAGAGCAGGTATGGAGGAAGACTGGGACTCCTAACCATGTACCCTGCACTGGCAAGCACAGGCCTGGAAAGCAAAGGATCAGCTGAATGCTTCTGGTAGCGGCATTCAACCATCAATCTAAGGAGCACAAAATAAAGAGGAAAAAGAGATTGAAATAATCTTTACATAGCCATTTACTTAAAGCTAGCATGAAACAGAAGTAGCGAAAGGGTTTTCTTCACTATTGTGGCATATACTGTATACTGTACGTGTGAAACGGCTCAAACAAGAAAAAAAAAAAAAAAAAGGAAAAAAAGTAGGACAGGACTTGTTTTTGTCCATGGGGAATTGGTTGATTTTACCACCCATGTGATCAAGGTGAAATCAGCTGAAAAGGAAGGTTGTTTTAGAAAAAGTTACTACTGTGATGAAAGATTATGAAGGTTTGGAAGTTGGAACCATGCACTAAAAGACCAGGGGCCTATACCATGATGGTGGCTGAACAAACTCTGGTTTGGTCAACTTGAAACTAATCCTAACACAAAACTAACTAACACAATTGTAACCAATTCAATCATGAAGCCATTCATCAACTTTATCAACTCAGACTTTGATCCAGAGTTCATGGAGCACTTCCACATAAAATTGTGACACCAAATCACATGTCTTGAACCAGAAAAACTGCTGTTCACTTGCAGAGAATCAGCAAGATTCGAAGATCTATCTATAGGTTCATTTAAACTATCCATCCATCTTCCGCTTATCCAGGGCCGGGTCGCAGGGGCAACAGTCTAAGTAGAGAAGCCCAGACTTCCCTCTCCCTAGACACTTCCTCCAGCTCTTCCGGGGGACACCGAGGCATTCCCAGGCCAGCCGGAGACAGTCTCTCCAGCGTGTCCTAGGTCTTCCCCGGGGTCTCCTCCCAGTGGGACGAGCCCGGAACACTTCCCCGGGAGGCATCCAGGACAGATGCCCGAGCCACCTCAGCTGACCCCTCTCGATGTGGAGGAGCAGCGGCTCTACTCTAAGCTCCTCCCGAGTGACGAGCTTCTCACCCTATCTCTAAGGGATCGCCCAGCCACCTTGTGGAGAAAGCTCATTTTGGCTGCCTGTATCTGGGATCTTGTCCTTTCGGTCATGACCCAAAGCTCATGACCATAGGAACGTAGATTGACCGGTAAGTCGAGAGCTTTGCCTTACGGCTTAGCTCTTTCGCTACAACAGACCGGTACATCGACCGCATTACTGCAGAAGCTGCACCGATCCGTCTCCCGATCTCCCGTTCCATCCTTCCCTGGATACTTACAACCCCAAGATACTTAAAAGGCAACTATTATGCTCCTTTTTACAAGATGAAATATTGGTCTCGGGTGTCCCCAAAATATATTTGTGAAGTTTCAGCTCAATACCCCACAGTCAATTTATTATAACCATTTGAAAATGTCATTTTTGGGGCATACGACCTTAAAGGGTTAGTTCACCCAAAAATGAAAATTAAGTCATTACTCACCCCCATGCTGTACCAACCCCGTAAGACCTTCGTTCGTCTTCGGAACACAAATGAAGATATTTTTGATTAAATTTGAGAGCTGTATAACTACCACATTGGCTGCCTAAGGGACTGCCTCTTGACGGCCCAGAAAGTCAATGAAGAAAATGTTTAAATATCCCAAGTGACTACCGTGGCTCAACTATATGTTTATCAAGCGACGCGAATACTTTTTGTGCGAAAAAACAAACAAAAATAACGAGTTTATTCGACTATTTCTTTTCTTCCTTGTAGGCCAGAAACGAGACTTCCTTAGATTTCCACGACGCATGCACGAGAATTGCGAGAAGTCTCTTTAAATGCAAATGAGGTGCATATCCACGCCCTGCCTTTGGATGAGGGCATCACTTGCAGACCTATGGCAGTCGGTAAGCAGAAGGGCTGAGAGGGGGAGACCTGCCGTTTTGAATGTCATTCAGCCGTACATGTTTGAATCGGAATATATAAATAGTCTCTGATCAGACCCAGATGACGAAGAGACTTTGGAAGAATAAACACATGAGAATGGACCAGTACGTCTCGGTATGGTTATTTGATACATTTATGCACTTAGAGTTGTAATCGTGTCCCCTTTGAAATTATGGATGTCTAACACACACACACACACACACACACACACACACACACAAACACTAACGTTGGTGCAATTTTTTGAAACCACACACACATAGGCTACTGTGATAAAGTTTGCTACGTACAAGCGAAATTACATTTATGCGAGGGACCTGTTGCGTGCGTCATGCTTACATTACTTGTCAAGCACTTGTGCTTCTGTGGCACATGTGAGTAGATGGCTAACTTGCAGAACAAGAACATATGCAGTTTAATACAATATCTCTAAAAAAAAAACAACTTTAGACGCATTTGTTGTCGAATTGGCTGACATTGACTGAAATGACCATTTGCTCAAAAATCATAAAATACACTTACTGTTACTGGAGGTGTCGTTGGATCGCAAACAGTAGACGACGATCCACAGTTGAGGATTAACTTTGAAGCAAGACCTGCTTTCAATTGACACTCGTTCAAAAAAAGATTCGCTAAAACACTTATTTACAAAGGAAAGGCGCCAATTAAACTTCCAAAATACAATACATCCACTGTGTTTTCAGTGGCTCTGAGGTCAGAAATAAGTGAAAACTAATGACTATGCAAGTCATTATTACATCCCATCCCACAACATAACACTTATGATTCTAGGAGACATTACCGGCTGTCGTTGAAACAATGGAGGATGTACAGATCACAGAGGGCGGGATCTATGCCACAACCACACTGTCAATCAAACCCCTTGCTCAATTCTACGTCACAAAGCGCTGAATCTTAGAACATCTCATTCTGAGACAGTGCATATGACTTATTGAGATTGTAAAAAAAAAAAAAAAACACTGGGTGGATTTATCATTCTAGGGTGATTTTGCTCACACACTGCCAACACACGTTTGTTAAAACACCATGTAAAAGTGAATTTTCCATAAGTGCCCTTTAAACTCCTCCACTTGAGGAAGGATCTCTCCACCAACCTGGAGTGAGCAAGCCACCCTTTTGAGCAAGCCACTGAGGACCATGGCCTCGGATTTGGAGGTGCTGATTTTAATCCCAGCCACTTCACACTCGGCTGCAAACCATCCCAGTGCATGCTGAATGTTCTGGTGTGAAGGGGCCAACACGACAACATCATCCACAAAAAGCAGAGACGAAATCGCGTGGTCCCCAAACCTGACACCCTCCGGCCCCTGGCTGCACCTAGAAATTCTGTCCATAAAAATTATGAACAGAACAGTCAACAAAGGGCAGGCTGAGAAGTGTGATCCCCCTGTAGTTGGAACACACCCACCGGTCCCCCTTCTTAAAAAGAGTAGTTTCATTTAAACTAAATATTTAATAATAATTGTTTAACTAAAATTAATGTGAAAAAGATTAGGGGTATAATAATTATATAAAATCATAATTAATTGCTAAGACACAATTTTAAATTTAAAAATATTTTACGATGTAATGACCTTTAATTTGGAGCAAGAGAAACATTATCAGAGGTGTCACTTTGCTCACAGATGATTGATCTCTTACCTAGAACATAACCTGCAGGTTATCCACAATCTCACAACCTAAGTTACAATGGCAATGAACACCACTATAAGCCACTTTCATGGTGCCTAAAAGTCAGGGCTGGCTCAGACTTCACTGAAACATACCTGGCTATCCACCTAAAAAAAGCTTTATTGTATAGGCCCCTGGAATGTATATTAAGGAAAAAAAATAATAATAAAGGGGTAGCATTTTCAAAGAATTTATTTTCAAAAACCTGATAGGATTATCCCTGGAGATCACACCATACTTCAGGTTGCGGACTTTGATGAGTGTCTGTACCTCAGCCAGGTAAATTGTGGTCTCGCCTATGACCTGATGTAAAATGACAGTTGTTCTCATTTCTTTTAATCAACCAGTTGAATCAATGTACAGGGCAGAGCCAGCACAAGGGTGTCAGAAGTAACAAAGGGGGTGTAACGTGATGTAAACGCAAAGTATCACCAGATAGTAAAAAACATGTGGCCCATTCAAGAAAATAAACCTGTCGCTACTAAAACTATGAAACTAAAAGCTACTGAGAAAATACAGATGTCAGCATTGCACTGAAAAATATTACTAAAATAAAAAAGGAAAATTGCCGAGGCCATTATATTTGAAAATTTAACTCTTAAATTTAAATCATTTTAAATAATCCTTGTCATTATTAATTTTCACATTCATTTTGACTGAGGGGGCAGGACAGTCTGGGTGAGTGATTCACGCCCCCAAAGCTGCTTCTAAGGCAAAATACTTACATAAGAACGTGTTCCACACTCAGTGACAGAAAATTTGAAGATGGCCAAGTCTTTGTTGGAGATAACAGGTTTGCAACCAGTCTTCCCAGCAACAATCAAGCTCATGGGGTTCACAGGGAAGTTTATGAAATCATTGTGAACAGCAAACACAAAATTCTTATCAGCAGTGCATTCTGGGAAAACAAGAGGGTCAAGACAAATGTCCAAATTTGTCAAATCTAATTTATTATATCACAACAAGTGCATACGAACCTTAGTCTCGTTCCAACGCTAATAAATTTGGAGTTTTCTAAATGAGCTAACACATGCATGAGGTTAGATATTTGCATAAAATATACTCAAACCACAACATGTCCATAAAAGCATTCTGGACACTCTTTCCTTTGGAAAAAAAAGGAATACCACCAGCAAAAAGAATACAACAGTTTTTATAGAATAGGATCACGGCAAAGGTGACAAATTTGAAAGCAAAGCAGAAAACCCTGCCTGACCCCTTGGAACCTTTCAAATGTATGGGTTTGTAATGCCAAACACCACCTGTAGGGAAACAATTTAACAATCAATTTGGCAGCTGTAGAATGTAAGTCTCTCTTTTCAACTGTTAGAGGCAATAGATTATGATAAGGGAATTGTCTTTTCTTCACTCAAAAACGCATGTGCATTAAGTGGACCAACCTGAAAATCCCAGGACTTGAGTTAAAGATGTGCAATTCATGGTACCATTGTTGTTACTTGTAAAACTGACTTGCCTTAATAAATAGTTCACAGCTAAAACTGTAATGTGAGAAACTAACATATAAGAAAGAACATACCATCCATGGGATAGTAGCAGACTGAGGTCATTGCATCAAAACAGCATCCTATGGTCAGACATTCCTCTTGCATTATACCAGAGGTGCTACATGACACTCTCTGATCGGCAGAGATGATACAGCCTTAAATAAAAACAAGAAAAGCGGAGTTAATTTGAGGAAAGAAGCAGGATTTCAAATTCAAAGAAGTTAAAGCTGGAATGTAGCAATGCGGTTGCAAGTTATAAATGTTCAAGAGTGAGTTTCGTGTTCACCCCCTGATTTGCTGTTCAGCGGGAACAGGTTTGGTGGGGATTGGGGAGGAGATGATTGAGAAGGTTGTGCAAGCGGTAGTTTTGCACACGTCTGATCTGACCGCACATTGAGCCGTTTTAGGGAAGCAGTGAGACTTTGGTTTGCGTCACAAGACAATGTAGCGACATCCAACTTTCCAGCTTCATTTGGATAGAGGACCCTCAGGGTATAATGGCCATCCTAAAGACAGAACAATCATAAGAGAAACCTGGGTACAACATGAAATGCATTTGCAACTAATATTTTAGGTAGGAAAGTATAGGGCAGAAGTCAAGTAACCATTTATAAAGAGCTTTTAACAGCTTTTAACATAGAGCTTTTTAAATTACCGTAAAAGATTGTTTAGGATTTACAACAGCAATAGGATACAATTATAGTAAAGCTAAAGTTAATTTTGATTGATTCACTTCCATTGCGAAGATCAGTAGTTATTAACTTGGCTAACACAACACCGTTCTAACAGAAAAACTCTTAACACGCTCCGGCCGCCCATCTGCACAAAACAGTGCCTGGTGTCTCGAAATTAAGTTGAGAGATGCTTGGATTAAGCAGAGGTGAAAAATAAGAGTTTTTGGACCGCAAAAGAAAAAAGAAAAAAAGAGCATTTGTTTCACAGGTGCATCAAGACATTCCTGTTTGCTATTACTTTTTCTTTAGAACATGCACTGACCGTGAACCATTTACAACAGGACCATGACAGTGTACAACATTAAATAGATTGTTCATCCATCATGTTGTGTCATACCTCTATCCTATGCATATCTTTTGTAAGCTTTTAACCAAATCAATCATTTGTAACTCACTTTAGATAAAAAGCATCTGCCAATAATGTAAATCTTTCTTCTGTGGAACACAATTTTGGCAGTCAATAGGATTCAAACTTTCACAAATAAACAAAAATACCAACAAAATATTTTTCAAAATATCTTTTGTGTTTCACAGAAGACAGAAAAGCATGCAGGTTTGGAATGAAATGGGAGTGAATAAATGACTACTGTAATAGCTGACTTGATTAACTTCAAAAGCAGAACTGTTTCCATAACTTTAATACCTCCAAGGTGACATGACAGCCAGTATAGTCAACAACCAAAATATTACGTCCATGGCCTTGTGTCAGAGAGTATCCACAGGCTGCTGGGGCCTCAAGCACATTTTCAATTATTGCAAAACCTGAAAATATATGCAGAAAATTAAATGTCAATTAAACTGGCATGTAAGAATACCAACAATTGCTATAAGCTACATTACATTATAGCTTTAGTTATACTTATTACTTACCCAAGATTTTGACCTGACTGAGAGAACCAGAGGGCAAAATCACTTTCATAGTATTATTATTACAGTAAACTGCCAACTCCGATTTCATTACATGTTTACTGTTTTTAACCAGCACTTCTGATTTATCAGCTTCACCATCAGAATAATCATAATCTACGTCTGAAAAATGATCCAAAGAAGAGATCGGTTTTGAATTCCGTGATAGTAACAAATCAATATAGCACAAAAACAAAATTATTGTTTTCATTCCCTGCCAAGCCATGTGTGCCTAAAACGCAGCAAAAGATGCGTTTGAGGAAAAAAAAGAGCAATGCTTTAATATTCAAATAAAGTGTAACTTCATTCATAACACCTGTCTCCACCAGTTCCTATGATTCGCTGAAAATGAATTAGGTCACGTGACGCTTTTCTCAACAAAACAAAAGGCCTATAACCCCCTAATTATTGAATTCATTACGTTAATACGACATCGCGCAGCTTTCCCACACAGACATTTTGAGTCAGCTAAATAAAACATTGCCAGAAGATTGCCAAATATGTAGGCTGGGTAAGGGTGAAGATACGAAGTATGAGACTAATGATTATTAAAAAAGACTGCAGTCTTTAAATCTAAAAACCTGAACAATAAGTATGCTAGCCTATATGTTGACCTTTACTTAACCCAATGGTGAAAATACATATTTACATTTTTCCTTTTTATTGATTTATTTAGTCTTTATTTTTTTATATTATTATTATTATTATTTATTGATGCTTTTTATTATTTATTCATTCATTGATGCACACTCCATCTCAGAAGGTGGCAGAAATGCACAATACATTTGCTTACCAACCGACAATAAATCAAAAGAAGAAGAAGAAGAAGAAGAAGAAGAAGAAGAAGAAGACATCCGCCTGCACAGTTAGCGGCGCTGTTTCGCTTAGTCTCTCACAGACTATTTTCAATGAAGGACAAATCATCGGCGTCGTCGTGTTTTATAAACAGTTTGTGACATCTATCTATGATATTATTTTTTCAGACGTTCTAAACAGGTGAGTGATAATGCAGGAAAGGGTAAAACCTTTACAGAGTGTCTCTTTCAGTGGGACTGATCAAAGACAAAAGCATCGTGAGTTAGCTTAAGTTGATCGTATAGAGACCTTTGATGACAATAGTTATGTGGTCTACTTAGGCTGATGGCTATGTTTTCGGGAAACGTAGCCCTGCATATTTTACACGAACCTGATACTAGTAAATCTAAACCTTACTGTCACCAATATCTCTGATTTTCAATTACTAAAACTTAATGAAATAACAACATGATTGCAATTAAAAGCTCAAATATGTAATCAAGTACATCACATGCATGGACTGTGTGCCAAAACCTAGTGAAATGCCTACTTATACTATACATAATTTGTGGGCAAATGCATTCTAATCTCAAACCTGTTTATTTCATCAGCTCACTATATTTTGAGGCAGAGTTAATATGCTTTATGTACTGAATGTTGTGTGCTGTTATACACTGATGTTTTTCTGCAGGTTAGTATGAGTGCTGAAGCTGCAGACCGGGAGGCAGTGACTGGCAGTCGGCCCTGCACCCCACCGCAGACCTCCTGGTTTGAGTTTCTACTTGATCCATCATTACTGGAGCAGCACTTACAGGGCCCTCATCCAGGTATCTTATGCACTAAAAAATGGATCATGGAGCAGCTTGCTTGTAAATGAATTATCACAGTGCCACTCTTCAGACTATATACATATTTAAAGGGTTATCGAAAGGAATCACTTGCGCTTCAGCCTACCCCGTGCTCTCGGAACAGGACACAACAAAAATGACTAACGTTTCGATGCACATGCGTCTTCTTCAGAGTCAAACTGTTGAAGAAGACGCATGTGCGTCGAAACGTTAGTCATTGTTGACTGCCAATAAATATATTAAAAAAATTCTGTGCTCCGGTCCTGCTCCTTGGTCTTAGTTAGACCTTGGGTCCTTGTCCTTAGATATTTAAAGGGTTGGTTTACCCAAAAATGAAAATTCTGTCATTGAGTCCTCAACCTCATGTTGTTCCAAACATATAAGACTTTCGCTCATCTTTGAAAAAAAAAAAAAGATCTTTTTTTATAAAATCTCTGTCCCACCCCATAAACATCTACGCAACTGAAACTTTGACGCTTCAAAAAGTTTAGAAAGAGATCGTAAAATTTAATTAATTTGAATTGGAACTATTTAGTCCAAATTTTCTGAAGCGACTCAATCGCTTTATATGATGAATAGATTGAATTTAGGCTTTTATTCACATATAAACATTGATCAGAAAATATTAACAGAAGCTCAACCAAACTTGCTTGATGCTCAAGAATAGACCCTGAAGCCACCGCCATTTGCGCCATGTACAATTTCAGCCAATTTCAGCCAGACAAAAATTTCCAAATTAAGCCAAATTAAGCCATCCGTAAGCCAAATTGAGCCGCCTGCTGATAAAGTTTGGCTGAGCCGGTTAGAATTGTTTGCATCAAATAATAATTCTATCACATAGATACATCCACACACAAAATATATAAACAATACACGAGATCTGTTTTCCCACTGCATTCATAACAGCCAGAGAATGTCTAATTGAAGAGAATTGGCACTGGCTGGTTATTTCCGGGTTCTGGACTGGCTGCAGTAACGCGTCTCTGTCCATGCGGGGGTGCTCGCGGTCGAGTGCAGAATGAATGGGAGTCAATGGGGTTTCACCCCCAGAAATCCACTTTTCTCAGGATGTAATTTGAAAGTTGCATTCAAAAGGGAGGGCTAAGAAAATGCACTCAGATGAAAATTGCATTTTTAAGTTCACTTTTCTGTTCTAAAAATCTGTTAAAAAATGTGATGACGTCACACAATAGCAGAATGCTAGCGTGTTCCGGCCAACAACAGCCTAACCTGTAAGAAATTAAAAGGACATAAGTACTCGTTCATTCGACTTTTGGCCTATAATCTATATTGAACTTGCGGAATCAACAATAAAATCTATTTTGATTTAACGACAAGCAGGTGAAAGAGACACTTTTAGCCGTTTAGCCCCATAGACTCCCATTCATTCCGCGATCACCTCCAGTGGAATTCTAATGGAACTGCAACCAAGATAATACACAACGGGGCTAATAGGAAGTGCCAAGGTTCTCCGTTAGATGGGCTCTGATAACAGCGCAGTCTTGTGCTCGTTGCTACTATATACAGGGCTCTCAAGCGTCACGCATTGAGCGTGACAGTCACTCATTTCGGTCTTTTGTCACGCACTCCCGCCACACATTGTATTTCTCACGCAGAAAAACTATTTATAATATATTTAATATGCCGCAGCGCCCAAATTGTCTCTGGCCTAGCCACTCTCACTGTAGAACGCGGCCGCACGCGTCTCCTCTGCTCTCGTCTCGAGCCTGTCACTTATCAGCCTGAGCCAATCAAAAAAAGAAGGGCTACACAAAGGCTAGCCAATCAGAAAATAGCACTATTGTATCTGGGTAAGATTTAACGCAACAACCAATAAAAAAAGCTCTCTCTTGAAGAGATCCTCTTCCAAAAGTTTCGTTCACCTGCAGAGGAAACGAATGGTGCTCAGAGGATCACTTTGAGCAGAGTAAGTCATGATCTCCTGTTTTAATGTTACAACAAATTTACAAATTGTTTGACACAAACAATGACAACTTGACTGCTGTTAGAGAATCATATTTTATAATTATCCTGGCCATGGATGCATTAATCATTGCATCTGTCTTTCAAAGATGTCAGGTAAAAAGCAAACAAGCATCCTCTCATTCGCCCTGAGAGGAAAGCCCCCTAAAATGGCTGGGCTTGAATTGGAGCCAACACCACAAATGATAAAGGAGTCTCTCTCTCTCTCTCTCTCTCTCTCTCTCTCTCTCTCTCTCTCTCTCTCTCTCTCTCTCTCTCTCTCTCTCTCTCTCCTCTCTCTCTCTCTCTCTCTCTCTCTCTCTCTCTCTCTCTGAAATTGATTAAATACTTTGTATTTGGTTGAATTGTCAGTGCCATGTGTCAAACACTTTCTGCAATTAATAACAAAAACACTAATAATAATATTATTAATGATGAAACACCCCCATTACAACCCCCCCCCCACACACACACACAATGTAACATCAAATTTAGCATTTTAATGAACAGTTATTTTTTGTTAACCTTTCATCATGTCTTGAAGTATCGCAATAATATTGTATCGTGAGTTCAGTATCGTGATATGTATCGAATCGTGACATGAGGGCATCATTACACTCATAATAAACATGGATCAACGCACACAGTTGCGGAACAAAGCTGTCAGGAAATGCTCTGAAACAAAGGTGGATCCAAATGCAGTATTTATTATTACCCTGGAACATTATTATTACCCTGCAGTATTTATTATTACCCTGCACCCCCATTCCACCCACCCCCCATTCCTCCCCCAAAAATGTCACTCTTACCTGTCTTCAAAACTTGAGATCCCTGTATACACAGACTCACAGTGAATTGATGACCAATTAAAATTTCTCGTTTTCCGTACAGAAGAAGCAATGCATTTTTTTCTCGCACTGAGGTGAAATGGAAAATATATAAATAAAACCCTCGGACACGGACGAGTTCTTCTTTAGCCTCTTGTCTCTCTCTCGCTTTATAGACCTTTCTCACAACTTCCGTATTTGTGAGCGGAAATAAGCAATTGTCGTGGTAATCTTCTTCCGCTCCATTCATAACAGATAGCGCCGCAGGCAACTAGTAAGAGTTTGATGCGTACCGATCTTTTTTGTTATTCCCAAAAGCAGCCATATCTGTCGTTTTCATTCCTTCCCTCGTCAGTTCCCTGTCGATGAAGTTAGACGGAAATGGATTCAGGCAATCTGGCGGGATGTTATTGGTCCTGTGATCTTCTGTGCTTATCACCATTCACTAAGTCGTCATTGTTTGTTTATTTTTTTATGTTTTATGATTTGTGTATTTTGAAGTAACGTTAGTTCATGTTCAGCTTTATTAAGATATTTGTATCCAGCGTAATAAACACATAAAAATATACTGTACACCACAATATAAAACAACATAAATAAGAACACACAACAGTGGGCTACATATAAATTTAAAATATTAATATATACCATTCTGAGTATTTAACAATCTTGAGTGTACAAGGGATAAATTAATATTTGTATAAATTGTTCTTCATCTTTGATCGTTCTATAGCAAGAGCAGTGCAAAAAAAATCACTACCTAAGAGGATAACTGTTGAATAAAACTGACAGACTTCTTTCTGGTATTCACATCAAAATGCAGTTTATTTTAGTCCCTAAATATTAATAACTTTCCACACACTCCACCTTCTTACC